TAGTATGAAATTTAAATTATTTCTTACCTGTGGAATTTCAGCAAAACAAATGGTCCTAAGCAGTAGCCCATGAATATCACTACATACATCTTCTTAATAACAAACTTAATGAATATCACTAATGGACCTGCATTGATTGCAGAGACAATGCGTGGATACTTGCTCACTGTGCTTGACAGCTGTGGAAGAAAGAATTTGAATTAGATTTAATCTAGTAGCAATTTACTTTTCTCAAAATATCTTACTATCTTTATTAATATTTACCCTGCCATTATATTCAATAAGGTATTCCATATTTTTAACCCATCACCTCCGGAGAATGTGGGGTTCATGTCATGGCTGACTTGGTTGTGCCTCCAGGTGACATGTTATTCCTGTAATGGCTGTCTAGGGCATAGATCCAGATGGGTCTTGTTACTATGATGCATGCAATTACATTTAATGCTGTTCTTTTATTACTGAGGAATTATGGAAAGGTTGGGGGGGGGGGGGGGGCTGGGTAAGTGAGCATGAGAGAGGGAGGGAGGGAGGGAAGGAGGGAGAGAGAGAGAGAGAGAGAGAGAGAGAGAGAGAGAGAGAGAGAGAGAGAGAGAGAGAGAGAGAGAGAGAGAGAAAACATAATAGAAATGTGAGAAACAGAGAAGAGAATTAAAAGTTAGAGAAAAAAAAAAAAAAGTGGGAAGGAATAGATAAGAAAGAGAGAGAGGGAATGGTGAGAGGATAATGTCCCTCATGCCCAAATGTCACAGGCCCTAGGGTATTGTCTATCCATGTAATGGCCTGATTGCCTATTGTTTTGAATAAGGGGAGATATTCTGCCATAACTCATTCGTCTGTTATCCCTGGAAGATGTCATGCTCAAAGGACTGCTGGTGCTATGAACCTTTAAGTAGCCTTCACTTCAATATCTTGCACTTGCATAGTCTATTTATTGATAAACATTTTGTTTGTGTTTATTTTCACTATATGCTTTGCTTTAGCATAGCATCCTTGAGTGAGGATATAGAATACCAACCAGCATCGCTACCTAGGAATTTTACAATCTTTCTCATATCAACAGTTTCAATGAGATGGGAATGGAATGCTCCTGGAACTCCAAACTCGTGTGGTAAAGGCAGGAGAAAGTTTATACCCAGTTTGGGTTTTCTGGGAGCCGGGATTCAGATCCAAGACCTTAACATGAGCTCCTCTTCTGCTAATTTTTTTCCCACTTTGTCACCTGACATTTTGGGGAAGTACTCAGGAGACTAACGGTGAGCTATTGACAACTATTTATACACAGTTTATTATTTGACTACATAGTGTTGGCATATTTGTCAATTTATTACCCTCTGTAACACAGTGTGATTGCTATTCATGATTTTTGTCTCCATAAACCAGCCACTGACACCCTTTCATGGAAAATGAAGGAGTGGGTTGAAGTGTCAAACTCCAAGCTGAAGGCCTACTTTGATATCTGCCTGCTGATGGGCATTAAGAATAAGAGTTAAAACACTATTGATCAAGGGACCTAAAGTACCTAAAGTGTTCTCCCAGACCATGGGGAGGGATTTGAATCTATCACCCAGTATTTGCATCCAGCAGACAACGAGGGTCATCATGAGCTGGGTGACTGACTTTGGAAGCTGAAGTCGATGATCATCTCCTTTGCCCGTTCTTGTCAGTTTACATCTCTCATATAAGGACAACTATTAAGACTCTTGAGATTCTGGAGGTGCTTCGTTGTCATCAAGTACAAATGTGCCAATTGTGCTAGGTCTGGCATCAAGGTGTACAAGGTAGCGGTGAGCAATGGCCCTATCAAGGGGATGCCAGTGCCTACTGGACCAGGACAAGAGCAAATACCCTGTTTCAATAATGGCCGTTGTCGACCTGACAGACGTCAAGAATCTGTTTGCTTTCCTCAAGTACATGGTACCAGGAAGGTGTTTGTTTCAGATGGATAGCAGCTCTGGGAATACAGTAGAGAGTACGGGGAGTAATGATATCATGGGGGGTTGAGTATAATCATCTGATTTACTTAAGTGAACTCTAGTTTACATGATCAGCCTCGTTGTGTCAACTACTCAGATTGTCATATGGCTCTGTCAGTGTTGACTATCTTGAAGCATGTCATATAAAAGTGAAGTATTGAAGCCATGGGAGTAACAGAGTATATAACTGCATACAATCTCTCATTTCCTAAGAATAAGATTTGCAAAAATTTGAGTACTTCTTGTTTTGATCTCTTAATATAACCACACTCCACCTTTTACACAGAGTGTAACACAGCTGGTGTATGGAAATGGACTCTAATTCACATAATCAGGCTAATTCAGGTTCAATCTAGCAACTGAAATGAACATGCAAAAACATGACAGTCATGTTTTTGGTACAAATGATACAAAAAGAAATCATACTGCTATGTTGGTGTGGCACATCTGAAAAAGGCCCAGAAGGCAAGCCCAGTCAGCCGTGCATATTCCCCAGAGTGGAGGCCCAGCAAACCTCAAATTCTCATGGAGGAAATGGATTAGTATATAAATGAAAGGCTTAATTCCTTTCTCATATCAATCACTACCTAAGGTTTATTTCATTTTGCTCATATAACTACCAATGCATCTTGTTATGAACAATCATCACAAAACATAACAAGTCAAGCAGATCAAATGAACAAAACGAAGGATAAGGATCAAAATCTCTACCATCCATTAAAGACAGAATACCACTAAGACATACAAATAATATATCTATCATAATAAGCCAGTTAATTCTGGTTAGTTAGGTTATTCAGAAAATAAAAAATCATGGTAGGCTGTAAATATTAGCAATAAAATTCTCCAGTATGAACAATAGGACTTACATCTTTTTCGAGGTTTATGACGACAAACTCCATGAAGAAACAGGCATAATACCCAGAGTGAAGTCCATGCCATACTGCTAGGAATACAAGTGCTGCGGCCTGTGAGATGTAGCGGTTGTTCAAGAACCGCAATCTCTTGTACACGTATCTTGTAGAAGACATGAGAGAAAATTAATCAGAAAATGGCAATAAACAAAAATTAAATTAATGTCAATCAAGTACAATGTTTACTAAGTTTCTGAATTCATATGGATGGTTAAAACAGTAATGTTCAACAGTTTGTGTTGTTTAAAAGTTAATTCCAATATGAAAAAGGCAATGACATTAAAAAAAAAAAAAAAAAAGATTTAATAGCTATTAAGATTAAACAATTTAATAACAACTATAACTATACAACTAAAAGTAATAAAACTGGAGACAATAATATTACTGGCCTAAAAATTGTAATTAATAATTATAATGATAATAATAATAATAATAATTGAAAAAAATAAAAATAAAAAACAATTACAACAACAACAATATTAATAACAATAATAGTAATAATAATGACAAATATGAGGAAAATAAAAAAGAAAAAATAACAATGAAGAAGAAGACGATGATGATGATAAATAATAATAATAATAATAATAATAATAATAATAATAATAAAAACAACAACAATAATAATAACCATAATAATAATAATGACAACAATTACACACACACAAAAAAAAATAATAATATTAAAAAAATATATAATAATAATGATAAAAAAAAATAAAATGGATGATGATGATAATAATAGTAATAGTAATAAAAGTAATAATAATAATAGAAATAATAATAATAGCTATTATAATAATAATAATAGTAATAATAACAATAATAATAATAATAATACAATAACAAAAACAAGAATAATAACAAATAATATTTGTTACACCCTCTGTGTAAGGAAACTTAAAATTAATATCAATAACAAAGAACAGGCATGCACATTTACAAGTAGACTCACACGATCACACATCTTGCCATACACACATACAAACACACAATTTTGATAAAATCTAACAAAAATCAAAATAAACATAAATGAACAAATGCATAAAAAAAAAATACAACCAAATACTACATTCACAAAAAATTGCCACATAGATGGTTAATAACTACTGAACAATCAATAAGATCTTACGAAATATTGACCAGGGAACTTGTGATATTTTATCTGTACTTAACTGTCCGTACTTTGTGATGAATGAAATAATAAACTGGCAAAATATAGTAGCACTTTTGGGATATGTAATGCATTCTCAAGTAATAGAATATCAACTGTGCATTAAAGCTAGCTTAGGTGTAAGCACCTACTTACTGGGCTACCCAAGCATTTGTATTTATGTTGAAGGAAGAAATCATGTCCCCAAAACTAGTGGCTCCCTCGTACAGCCGGATCTTGACATTGGCACAACCGTTCCATAGGCAGTTACCGTTTGCATCCTTACCAGAGTATGAGAGGCCTATAGGGGTGGATGGGAGGGTAAAATCCTTGAGAGGTATTGTTACATAACAGTATCCAAAGGCAACAAGGTTATCACAAGAGGTGGTGTTTCTCTTCTTGTGAGTAATGACCTTTCTAAGAGACAGATAAAGGAGAGAAAGAAAAGTGGGTGACTGAGTGATAGCAGCTGGTGAAAGGATTCACTAAGGCTCTTTAAATAAGCAAAGGCTGGTATATTAGTTATTTACAAAACAGTAAAATGTTTATTTTTTAATGATAGTAAGTTAGTCAATTTCTAGCTGTGGTACATCATGTTAAGTTTAGACAGGTGAAGGTTATCCTTACTGTTGTTATGAAAATTTGTTTAGTTACTGTTTACCTATAACAACTGGCAATGGAAAGCATTCCAAGCTCACAATGGAAATATAATTCCCCTCTGATACAAGTGTCACAAAATCCTAAACCTGCTCACTTCAGATAAATATGTGTATAAGATATCTAACATTGAAAATGATGTACATCTTCCAAGTAAAATATTGTTAATCATACCCATCATTATTACAATTTTCTATGAAAACTAATTCACAGTAATTCACATCAGAAATGGGACCCACCTTGCATCTCCATTAATGTTAGAAAATACAACTTTTAAATAAAACTGTTTTATGTTGGGGGAAC